TAGTCTAGGGGCATAGTTCTTACAGTTCTAGGAAAGAAAGTAATTATTGCCTGCATATTGACCATCGGAGGCTAGATTGCAAGATGATGATGCTAATGGCAGTTAATAGTTATACAAGATTTACTGTGTGCCAGACACTGTTCTGAGCTTTTCATGTATACATTAACTCAGTCCTCATGTCAGCCCTCTGAGATAAGTTTACTGCTTCATCAAATCTAAAATGCTTTGATGGTGCATTTGTGATCTTGCTAGAAGATGCTGATGCAAGGTTTTCACATAACAGTCGCCAGTGCCACCTCATTTAGTAATAATTGCAAGATGTCATGGGTTGTAAGACTATGAAATGTAAGATGCATCCCGATTATAAAGAAGTTAAAATGAGAAAGCATATGCATGCTAGAATTAATAAAATAAAAATTAATTTTAAAAAATCATTCCCATTTTTAAAATGGGGGAACCTGAGGCAAAAGGGGTTATATTTTCTTTAAAATTTTTTTCTTTTATTTTTTTAAAAAGCTTTTATTTATTTGGGAGAGAGAGAGAGAAGGAGTGTATGGGGGGGGAGGAGCAGAGGGAGAGGGACAAGCAGACTCTGAGTTGAGCACAGATTTTGATGCGGGCCGATCTCAGGACCCTGAGATCAGGACCTGAGCCGAAATCAAGAGTCTGTTGCTTAACCAACTGAGCCACCCAGGCACCCCAAGGGATTAAATTTTCTAAAGTGAAATGACTGGATTCACATCCAGGTGATTTGGTTCTAGAGTCCATGTTGTTGACCTCTACTTTTTCTTTTCTCTCAACCATGTGTTGGAATTGAGCCCATGTTAGCATGTGAATAGACTGCCCAAGACCCACTTACTTGTCTTCTCATTGGGGCATTCATGATAGAATGGCACTGAGATCCTTCTGAGAGGAAGTGTGCATGGTGTATAGCACCTGACTTTAGGGCTGTGATAAGGATTGTAAAGTACTTGGTGTGTGGGCATCTGACCTATGCTTCTGACCCATTTTTAGCAAGAGTAATGCAATTGGGAAAAGCCTTCATGAACTGTCTTCTTAAGCATCAATAGGCTGGAATGCTCACTGCAAATAGTATGCACAAAACGTTGTTTGGGTGTCCCAAATGTCAAATTCTGCACTGTGTGTTTTCAGTGTTTCCCTTTCTGCTCTAAAATGCCAACATAAAAATAATATGTTATTTCCATACTTGGGGAGTAGAGCATTTTCTTTATGGAAACTAGGCCCCTCAAATACCACTCAAGACTTGAATAACAAAAATAAGAAATAAAAATAATTTTTAATATGAAGATGGTTCTATATGAAGACCTACCAGCAGCTGAAACTTAACATTAAGTTTTCTTCATCTGGTGGTGATAAGCAGTGGTAAAACACATATATGGGACTGCAAGATGGGTTTGGGGTTATAGTTTGCTATGCACCAGAATTATATTCTGCTGAAAGATGGAATGGTTCCACTAATTCTGGGATTCGACTAACTGGCTGCAAACTCCGATAAGAAGCTTGTCACCATCAATACCCTGCCCAAATCCTGAAAAATCTCTGTTACCAGTTTGGAGGCCTGCTTCCTTCCTGAGTCCTTTTATTTCCTTGCATCTTCCTTACTTTTTAGAATTCTGGTCTCTGTTAACCCAGACTAGCCTAGTCATTGTGACCAATTTAGGAGACCCTTTACATAGCTTCCAAATTTGCCACAGGTTTTCCTTAACTTGAAATCTCTTTTATTGTTGGATCACGGATTAATGTTTTGCTGCCAGGTCCCTGAGATAAAATGAATGGTGGAGTTGTCAACCAAGGAAGCCTCTGTCACTCATCACACCTTTTCCTATTGTTTATCATATTCTCTGCCATCATGCCCATATTCCTTTCTCCCAACCTGTTTACTGTTCTCTAACACATACAAACCGTTCAAGTGTAGAAAGAAACTATATTGTGGTGGAGATAAATTGGGTGTATAGACTATCTGCAACTGAGGTAATTATAAGTAAAAATTAAATGTTTTGGTTCAGCATATGTTTAAAGCACTAAACCATTGCTTTTTGTGTTTCTGTTTATCATTTTACATTTCTAGTCTTGAACTGTTTGAACATCTGATCAGTCAACTTGGCCTGGTTTGAACCAGTTTTTAATCAGTCTAAGACAGTAAAAGCAATTTTATAGATGACATGAATTAGTTATAAGCAGTTTGATAAAATTAGAGCAAGTATGACCCAGTTGAAGAGATTTAACTGGTCAGCACTAGTTTGACTCAGTAAAATATACTCCAAACCAATCAAACCTCATGTGAGCCAGTCAGAACATGCCTTCCAGGTCAGAACTTTTTTGAGCTAGGTAAAACTAGTTTGAAGCAGTTTGAGCTATTGAAACCAGACCCCAGTAATTTTCATTAGATATATTTAGTTTTAGCCAAAGTGGCTTTAGCTCAGTCAGAAATATTTTTGTACGTGTAACCTCTTTGAATTCGACTCTTTCATTCTGAACTACAATGAACCATTCAGATTTTTTTGAACAAGTATGAGCTTGGTAGAATGGACTGCAGTGTTTTATACAGATTTGAACCTGTTTTTAAGCTGGTCATAACTTCTTTTGCAATAGGCATGTCAATTTAAAATGAAAATGCTTTAAATTGGCCAAAAAAGATCAGAATTACTTTGAAAGTGATGTGTTGACTCGGCAAAGGACTCTGAGCCAGTTAGAAATCCTTTGTGCTAGAAATATGTTTTGAGCTACTCAGAGGCGATTTCAGAGATTGTTCTAGGTCTTTAGAGCCAGTGCGATCTGTCCAGAATGGGGTGAAGAGGGTTAGCTAACATTTACTGAGTATTCAGTATATGCCAAGCACTGTGCTGGGTGCTTCACAAAGAGTATCTTGTTCAATCTTTAGAACAATGGTGTGAAGGAGGGTATATAGTATCTTCTTTTTCACAGGATAGAAACCTGTCCAAGACTCAGAGACATTTGAGCCATGTGGGAGACATGGAATTTAGCCCAGCTCAGCTTGACTTTGGAGGTCATGTGTTTCCTATTAGGCTACCTTGTATGATACCATACCTGGTCACCTTTAAGCCCAACATGCATTTGTGGAAGCTTGAGTAACACAATAAGCTTGGAGGTAGACTGGACATTGAACTTGGAATTAAGGGATTTATATTCTAGACTGTGCAAATGAGTTAACCTCTCTGGGTTTTATTTCATCCTTTGGAAAACTGAACCCAGAGAGTGAAAGGTTTGGACATTTATTTTCAGATTAACAAGGCAGATAATTGCCTAGAGGTGCGATCTGAAGAATGCAAACTATGATTAATATTGATGGTGAAACTTATATACCTTCAGTTGTGGTATTTGGTTTGTTAATACTTCCTTTATGATGGCTTGGTTTGGGAACAAACTGTTATGTATCACTGTCAATATGAATAGAAAAACCCACAAAGAGCATTTTTAGATTTATATGTGTGATTCTTCTCCCGTGATAACTAAACACATTAAATTTTGGTGCAGCCGATACAGTTTCATCTGTCTTTGAATTCCATTCAAGTGGATCTAGAGAATTCTAGAAAAGTGATGACATTGGTGACATCATTTTCTCCTGTACCTTAAATGATATTAAAACATAGACATAGGAATGACCACCCTTTGTTCAAATTAAAAGTAAAGAGGAAGTAAGTGTTGTCTTGAATCATTCTCATTGCAGAATTTGGAGTTGCTTTCTGCTTCCTCATTCATTTTGAGGGGAACCTCCAAAATGATTAAACGTTATCTGGACCTGCTTTTCAATTCTTAGCTCTAATTAATGAATAACTTGGAGCCAAATGAGATCCTATGATATGACGTAGTAGAATATTTATTTGTACCCTATTGGTCCGCTTCTGGAGAGGAATTCTGTTATATACCATTAATACTGCAACCAAACCTGTGAATACGGAAGCTATAATGTAGGGAAGCCATCATCTGTGAAGTGTCATTCTTTATAGTGTGCAAATAGAATTATGAATGTTTGTGGAGTCTCTGCCCTAATCAGCTGACCAGCCATATCTGAATATGAGGTCCCAGATCTTTACTAAGGCACTATGAGGAAGTAAATTGCAGTGGCTCTTGGGGGTAAGCATTCAGGAATTTTGAGCATAAGGTGAATCACCAAATTGAGGATGGGGTGGGGGGAAAGAAGCCTTGAAAATCAATAAATGTCCTTGCTTGCGCTTTTATTAATTTTATGGATCTATAGAAATCTTATAGGAAGCATTGAGAATTGTAGTGAAGTTTCTCAATGTGAGGCTTAGTGAAAATAGACATTGAGAGGAAAATCAGCAGCATCCAATGTAGGGCATCTGATGTGTATGTGAATAGGTGAATATGCATGTTTGAATGGCATGTGGAGTTGTCAGTGGTAGTGGGAGAACTGATTATTTTTCTGATTTTCTGGAGGGTTTATTGGTATTAGAAATGGGAGCATAAAAAGAGGTAAGTCTTCCCTGGAGACAGACTACATTTTCAGTTGGACTGATATTTTGAGAAGTTGGAATCTATTTAGAGAATAAAAACAAATCATGAAAAGGGCACCAGGAGACTGAAAAAGAAGGGGGGGAGTTGGAACCACTTGCACTCTAAGAATTATTATTATTCCTCTAACATTCTCCTTCTTTCTTTTCAAAATTTTTGTTCTATGTGATCTGTATGTAAGACTTAGTGCTGGTTGTCTTCTTAATTTTTACTCTGACTTGGAATTTTTGTCTTAATGGTACTATAATATGCACATTAAATTTAAATTAAGCTGTTATTTATTATTTTGGTAACATCTCATCTAGCAAATTATTAGGTCCTTGCGGCAGTGAATACTCTCTAATTCTCTTCACAGAACCCTTAGGCATATAGGTATCACATAGTACTTATTGAACTGGATATTAAAACAACTCACTTTATTCATGGAAGATTCTAATATTTCCTGATAGCTTTTTAGTAAATATGCATTTGTTTGTATTTTACAGGTGAACCACTGAGTTCTTCATTATGTCTGATGGAGACTATGATTACCTCATCAAGTTTTTAGCTTTGGGAGACTCTGGAGTAGGGAAGACCAGTGTACTTTACCAGTACACAGATGGTAAATTTAACTCCAAATTTATCACGACAGTGGGCATTGATTTCAGGGAAAAGAGAGTGGTAAGTTCTATATAAAAATGTGATCTCTGATTCAGTATTTGCCTGTCTGTCCAGTTTATTTTGTAGGAATTAGAAGGACAAAGTTTGGAATATAAAATTGGAAGGGTGCATGTGAAAGTGTATTTTGTTCAATCTAGGAAATGTGATTTAAAAGGTTGTGCTGGGGCACTTGGGTGGCTCAGTCATTAAGCGTCTGCCTTTGGCTCAGGTCATGATCCCAGGATCCTGGGATCGAGCCCCATGCTGGGCTTCCTGCTCAGTGGGAAGCCTGCTTCTCCCTCTCCCACTCCCCCTGCTTGTGTTTTCTCTCTTGCTGTCTCTCTCTCTGTGTCAATTAAATAAATAAAATCTTTAAAAAAATAAAAATAAAGTAGAAGGTTGTGCTGAAGGACCTTTAATATAAAACCAATGAGACAAAAGTGAAGATTTCTTTTAATTTTCCCTTGATACCCTTTGACTTGTATGTTCCCTCAGAACTCCACAAAGTTATTTGTCTACCTTTGTTATGAAGCCTACAAACCACCCTAGCCAACCTACTCCTGTTTTGTGGACTGTTTCTTCCACCTTTGATGTCATTTTTAATGGCCTTTGTCTTAATTCAGTCCCACATGGAAGACTAAATGGCAGAACTTGTCACTGCTGCCAGGAAGATGAGGTTGGCGTGGGAGTGAGAATGCCAGTCGTGTATGTTGAGCTGGGAAGTTACCAAGGGAACAGGGAGGTTCTACTCAATGATGAAGGAAGAGGCTCTTTTTTTCTTTATTTAAGGGACCCTAGGGCTGCAAGTTATTCTGCTCGTGGAGGGGAGGGCAGGAGGTCCCTGTGTCAGATTTGCAGAGAGAAGATGGCCTTCATCATGAGCTACATTTCTTGCTGAAAAATCGACTGTTACCATGAAGCCCCTCAACAAGTGGTCAAGAGATTAATGACACAGATCTTTCAATGGAGCATATTCTACCTGGAAAAGATAAAGGGTCTCTGGCTTCTAGGGTAGAAAAATTCATTCCTTCTTACTCAAGGTCTTTTTCTTTCACTGCCAGAGAATCTTATAGACTCAGAGACACTGAGTAAGAGTAGGATTTCATTAAATTTTTAGTATTGACATATAATTAGTAGAATCAATATATATGTATGTGATTATATTTATTAATTCCCATTTTATAACCTTGTTTTTTAAAAATCACTTTATTGAGATATAATTCACATAAAAATCACCCATTGGAAGTGTACAATTCAGTGGTTTTTAGTAATATTCACAGTTGTGCATCTCATTTTAGAACATTTCTTTACCCCCAAAGGAAACCTCATGCCCTTTAGCAGTCATTCCCCATTTATCCTCCCTCTAGCCACTAATCTATTCTGTATAGATTTGACTATTCTGGACATATCATATAAATAGAATCATACAATATATGGCCTTTTGTGTCTGGCTTCTTTCACTTAGCATAATGTTTTCAAGGTTCATCCATGTTGTAGCATGTATCAGAACTTCATTCTTTTTTATGACCAAATAATATTCCATTGTATTGATATACCACATTTTGTTTATCTATTCATCCATTGATAGACATTTGGGTGGTTTCACTTTTAAGCTATAATGAATAATGCTTCCATTAACAGTCATATACATTTTTTTTTTGTCTTTTGCCCTTTTTTTATTTGTAGAAATTTAAAAATATATTTTGGATATGAGCCCTTTTTTAAATAGATGTATTATAAATTGCTTCTACTCAGTGTGCCTTTGTACTTTTTTTTTTTATTATGTTAATCACCATACCTCTGAAACAAATAATACATTATATGCTAAAAAAAAAAAAAAAAGGAAGATAGCAGGAGGGGAGATGAACCATGAGAGTCATATACATTTTTTGTGTGGTCTTATGTTTTCAAATCTCTTGGGTATACACCTAGGCATAGAATTAATTTGCCATATGATAACTCTCTATTTAACTTTGAGTAACTTCCAAATTTTCTAAAGATGCTGCACCATTTTACATTCTTACCAGCAATGTAGGAGGGTTCCATTTTCTCCATATCCTCACCAACTCTTGTTATTGTCTATTTGATTATAACCATTCCAGTGAGTGTGCTGTGGTATCTCATTGTAGGTTTGACATAAATTTCCCTGATGACAGATGTTTTTGAGCAATCATTTCTTTCATGTACTTATTAGCCATTTGTGTATCATCTTTGGAGAAATGTCTTCAGATTGTTTGCCTGTTTTGAAATTGGTTGTCTTTTCTTTTAAGAGTTTTAAAAATATATTCTGGATAAATGTTCATATATATATATATTTAAATTATATATATTTAAATTATATATATTTTAATTATATGTAAATAATTATAGCCCTTATGGTTAGGTCTATGATCCCATTTTGGGTTAATTTTTGTATATGGTATGAAAGGGGTCCAGCTTCTATTTTTTTTTTTGCATAGGGTTGTCCAGTTGTCCCAGCAGCATTTATTGAACAGAGTAGTCTTTCCCCCATGAGTGGTCTTGGTACTCTTGTTCAAAATCAGTTGACCATAAATATAAGTGTTTATTTTTGCACTCTCAATTGTATTCCATTCATCTTGATATCTATCCTTAAGCCAGTACTATCTAGATTACTTCTGCTTTGTACTAAGTTTTGAAATTGGGAAGCATGAGTCCTCCCACTTTGTTCTTCCTTTTCAAGATTGTTTTTGATTCCTTGCAATTCCATTTGAATTTTAGGGTCAGCTTATCAATTTCTACAAAGAAGTCAGCTGAGACTCTGATAGGGGTTGCACCGAATCTGTAGATCAATTTGGGGAATATTGGTATCTTAACAATATTACATCTTCTGATCCATGAACATGAGATAGTTTTCCATTTGTTTAGATCTTTAATTTCTTTCAACAATGTTTTATAGCTTTCACAGTGTAAGTTTTACACTTTTTTGTTCAATTTATTCTTAAGTATTTAAAATTTTTATGCTATTGGAAATTGAATTGTTTTCTTAATTCACTTTGAATTGTTCATTGCCAGTGTATAGAAATAGAATTTATTTTGTAAATTGATCTTGTATACAGAAACCTTGCTGAACTTGTTTATTAGTTCTAATTGTGTGTGTGTGTGTGTGTATTTATTCCTTAGGGTTTTCTATATACAAGATCATGTCATCTTCTGCTTTACTTCTTCTTTTCCAATTTGGATATGTTTTATTTTTTTTCTTGCCTAATTACCCTCGCAGGAACCTCCAGTAAAATGTTGAATAGAACTGATGAAAGAGGACATCCTCATCTTGTTTTTGATTGCAGGGAGAAAGCATTCAGACCTTCACCATTAAGTACAATGTAAGCTCTGTGTTTTTTCATAGATGCTGTTTTTCAAGTTGAGGACATTCTCTTCTGTTTTTGAGTGTTTTTATCATGAAAGACATTGAATATTTTCAAAGGATTTTTTTTCTGCATCTATAGAGATGGTCATGTGGTTTTGTCCTTTATTCCACTATGGTGTATTATAATTGTATTGACTGACTGATTTTTGTAAGTCAAATCAACCTTGCTGTTCCTGTGACAAATTTTACTTTGTCATGGTATATAATCCTTCTTATATGTTGCTGAATTCTGTTTGCTAGTATTTTGGTGTCTATATACTCAGAATGGATATTGGTCTGTAGTTTTTTTTTCTGCATATCTTTAGTTTTGGTATCAGGATAATATTGGCCTTACAAAATGAGTTGAGAAGTGTTTCCTTCTTTTCTATATTTTGGAAGTTTGGGAAAGATTGGTGTTGATTCCTCTCCAAATGCTTGGTCAGATTCACCAGTGAAGACATTTGGGCCTGGCCTTTTCTTTGTGATAGGTTTTTGATTACTAATTCAGTCTCCTTATTTGTTATATGTCTATTTAGATGTTCTATTTCTTCTTGAGTTAGTTTCAATTGTTTGTGTCTAGGCATATGATTATCTAATTTTTTGGCATACAGTTGTTCATAGTATTCCTTTATAATCTTTTTATATATGTAAAGTTGGTAGTGTTGTCCTTTTTAAATTTTTTTTTTTAAAGATTTTATTTATTTGACAGAGAGAGACACAGTGAGAGAGGGATCACAAGCAGGGGGAGCGGGAGAGGGAGAAGCAGGCTCCTAGCTGAGCAGGGAGCCCGATGCGGGAATCGATCCCAGGACTCTGGGATCATAACCTGAGCCAAAGGCAGACGCTTAATGACTGAGCCACCCAGGTGCCCCCCTTTTTAAAAGTTTTTAAAAATTATTTTAATTTGGGTGCCTGGGTGGCACAGTCAGTTGAGTGTCTGACTCTTGGTTTTGGCTCAGGTCATCATCTCAGGGTTGTGAGATCTAGCCCCACATTGGGTTTTGCACTCAGAGCAGAGTCTGATTGAGATTCTCCCTCTCAATCTGCCCCTCTCACTCATGCTGTCTCTCTCTCTCAAACAAATATTAAAAAATTATTTTACTTTTTATTATTTTTTAATATGTTTGGATATATAGGAGATCTTTTTAAAACTTCCTGATTTTAGGAATTTGAGTCTCCTATTTTTATCCTTGGTCAGTCTAGCTAAAGGTTTATCAATTTTGTTGACCTTTTCAAAGAAAAGATAATTTATTTCCACTATAATTTCTTTCCCTCTGTTTGCTTTTGGTTTAATTTCTCTTATTTTCTAGTTTCTTAAGGTTGAAAGTTAAGTTATTGATTTGAGATCTTTCTTCTTTTTTTAATATAGGTATTTACTGCTATAAATTTACCTCTGGGCACTGCTTTAGCTTCATTTGATAATTTTTTGAAGTTGTGCTTTTATTTTTATCCATCTAAAAATATTTCCTTTTTTTTTATTATGTTATATTAGTCACCATACAGTACTTCATTAGATTTTCTAGTTTCCCTTGTGTTTCTTCGTTGACCCATTGTTATTTAAGACTGTGTTATTTAATTTCTATATATTTGTGAGTTTTCCAAAATTTTCTTTCTGTTAATGATTGCTAGTTTTACCCCATTGTGGTTGGAGACATAGTTTGTATTATTTCAGACTTTGAAGTTTATCGAGGCTTGTTTCATGATCTAATATATAGCCTATCCTTGAGAATGTTTCATGTGTACCTGGGAAGAATGTGCGTTCTGCAGTTGTTGAGTGTTCTGTGGATGTCTGTTATGTCTTTGGTTTACAGTGTTGTATAAGTCTTCTGTTTCCTTGTTCATCTGCCTACTTGTTCTATCCATTATGAAAAGTGGAGTATTGAAGTCTCTCAATATAATGGTTGACATGTTTATTTCTCCTTTTTCTCCCTGCATGTTCTTAATGGAGTAACCCTTTTATCATTATGAAATATCCTTCTTTGTCCCTAATAACAATTTTTGTCTTAAAGTTTATTTTTTCTAATATTAGTAAAGCCACTCCAACTGTCTTTTAGTCACTGTTTGCATGATATTTTCCCCCCATCCTTTTATTTACAACCTCTTTGTGTCTTTGAATCTAAAGCATGTCTCTTATAGACAGTACATAGTGGATCATGTTTTTAAATCCACTTTGCCAATCTCTGCCTTTTATTTGGAGTATTTAATTCATTTATATTTAATTACTGATAAAGCATTTATGTTTGCCATTTTGCTACTTGTTTTGTATGTGTCTTATTTTTTGTTCCTCTATTTTTTCATGACTACTTTATTTTTTGTTATATACTTTCTAGTATACCATTCTAATTTCCTTGTCATTATTTTTACTATATATTTGAGTTATTTTTTTAATAGTTCCCCTGGGGATTACAATTATCATCTTAATTTTTAACAGCGTAGTTTGGATTAATACCAGCTTAATTTCAATACTATCATGAAACTCTGCTTCATTTCCTGCTCCCTCCTTTGCACTGTTATTGTCATACAAATTACATTTTGATATGCTATGTGCCAATCAACAGATTTATGATTATTCATACAGTTGTGTTTTAATCAGATGGAAGAAAAGAATTAAAAAATACATTTATACTGTATTTTATATTTACCTATGTAGTTATTTTTCTGGTTCTCTTTACTTTTTATGGATTTAACTTACTGTCCAGTGTCCTTTTATCTCAGCCTGAAGCACTGTCTTTATTATTCCTTATACAGCAAGTATGCTGGTGATGAATTTTCTGTTTTTGTTTATCTGCTGATGTCTTACTTTCTCTTTCAATTTTAAACAATAGCTTTGTTGGATATAGAATTCTTGGTTGATAGTCTTTTTTCTTTCAGCACTTTGTCATCCTACTGCCTTTTGGCCTTTATTGTTCTTTAATGACAAGTCAGCTGTTAGTCTTATTGAGATTCCTTGTATGTGATGAATCACTTTTCACTTGCTGCTTTTTTTTTTTTTTTTTTTTTTTATTTGACAGAGAGAGACACAGCGAGAGAGGAAACACAAGCAGGGGGAGTGGGAGAGGGAGAAGCAGGCTCCCTGCAGAGCAGGGAGCCCGATGCGGGACTCGATCCCGGGACTCCAGGATCATGACCTGAGCTGAAGGCAGTCGCTTAACCAACTGAGCCACCCAGGCACCCTCACTTGCTGCTTTTAAGATACTCTTTTTATCTTTGGATTTTGACAGTATGATGATGTGTCTAGCCAATCTCTATTACTTTATTGGAGATTACTGAGTTTCTTGAATGTGCAGATGAATGTTTTTCATCAAATTTTGGAGGTTTTTTCTATTATTTCTGCAAAAATATTTTCTGCCTCTGTCTTTTTATAGGATTGCCAGTATGCATATGTTGGTATGTTTGATGGTTCCATAGGTTTCTGAGACTCTGTTCATTTTTCTTTATTCTTTTTCCTTCTGTGCCATGGCCTGGATAACCTCAACTGTCCTATCTTCAATTTCAGTGGTTATTTCTTCTGCCAGTTCAAGTCTGCTATTGAAACCCTTTAGTGAATATTGCACTTCAGTTACTGTACTTTTTAACTCCAGAATTTCAATTTACCTTTTATAACATCTATCTCTATTAACATTCTCTATTTAGTGAGGCATTATTCTTTTCTCTAATTCTGTAAAAAAATTTATTCATTTATTTGAGAGAGAGAGAACAAGAAAGCACAAGCAGGGGGAGCAGTTGAGGGAGAGGAAGAAGCAGGCTCCCCACTGATCAGGGAGCCTGATGTGGGGCTTGATCCCAGGACCCTAGGATGATGACCTGAGCCAAAGGCAGGTGCTTAACCAACTGAGCCACCCAGGAGCCCCTATACTTTAATTCTTTAGACATGATTTCTTTTAGTTCTTTGAACATATTTATAATAGCTGATTTAAAGTCTTTGTCTACTGGGGCGCCTGGGTGGCTCAGTTGGTTGGGCGACTGCCTTTGGCTCAGGTCATGATCCTGGAGTCCTGGGATCGAGTCCCACATCGGGCTCCCTGCTTGGCAGGGAGTCTGCTTCTCCCTCTGACCCTCCCTCTTCTTGTGGTCTCTCTCTCTCATTCTCTCTCTCAAATAAATAAATAAAATCTTAATGACTTTTTCTTTTTCTTTCCTTTTTTTTTTTTTTTTTTGTCTACTAAGTCCCCTTCCTTAGGGATGGTTTCTGTTGATTTCCTCTCCCCCACTGTAATGAGCCATACTTTCCTGTTTCTTTTTGTGTCTCATAAACTTTGCTGAAAACTGGACATTTTAAATAATATAATCTGGCAACTCTAGAATTAGATTTCTCCCCTTTCCCAAGGAGGGGGAAGGGCAGAGGGAGAGAGAGAATCTCAAGCAGACTTTGTGCTAAGCATGGAGCCTGACATGGGGCTCTATCTCACAACCCTGAGATCATGACTGGAGCTAAAACCAAGAGTCAAATGCTTAACTGACTGAACCACCCAGGCACCCCTGAGCAGACAGATTTCTTGAACCAATAAGTCTGTCAGCTTTTTCTGACACTGTGTGTGTGTGTGTGTGTGTGTGCATGCATGCACATGTGCACATGTGCTTGTGCATGCCTGTTTTGGGACATGTGCCTAATGCTCTTGCAGGCAGTTTACAACTCTGTCTTAGCCTTCACTTCCTGCTTGAGAAGAGCCTCGAAGTTAGCTAGAGATAAGATAATAGGGTCTTTTCAAGTCTTTCCCAGGCATATGTACAGTGCTATACATGAGACTGGCCTGGTACATTCCAAAGAACATTTTGGAGCTTTTCAAATCTCCCTATGGACGTCTCATTTCCTTTTTTTTTTTTTTCTTCAAGTTTTTTTGGTTAGGCTTTTGTTAGCCCCAATTGGTATTGCTGCCTTTGGTAGCTGTGATGTTAAATAATTGCTCCTAATTGTTTTCAACAAATGCCCTAAGGGTAAGGTTATTATCATAGAGCAAGCTCTGAGTTTGGCAAAGTCAAGTCAAGGCCTGGGAATGGAGCTTTACAGGCAACTTTCAGACAGTACTCTGGAGATGAGACTTTGGGGAGTTTCAAACCTGTTTTGCCTCCACTCCCTTCATTGCCCAGTGATCTGATTGTTTTCACAGCTACTATAGTTGTGCATCTCTTGGTTTTCAAGGCTATTGATGAGCTGGGAAGAGTGGGATGGGAATAGGATAAATTAAAACAGCACAAATTTTACTGTTTTTACTGATATTCAGCCATTTTTCTTGATTGGATGCTTCTTGGGACATTGCGTTTCTTTGTTAATTTTCAGAGTTTGGAAAAAGTGGATTTTGACTTTTTTTTTGGCCAATGTTTCATTGCTTTTATGGAAGAAGAGATCTTCAGAGGTCCTACCTATAAAATTGCTTTAGAGTACTTTTTAAAGATGGGATTGGGAAAAATACTGGTGACCTGAGGGAACTTTGAGGAAATATGAGCAGATTATTTTTATACAAATTATGTGTTATGTATATATTTCATAATATATTTATAAAAATATATAAGGTATATATGTTTTAATACAAATTATTATATTATCCAAAGACAATTATTTGGAATAACATACAAATAAGGTTGTATTCCAGATGGGATTTTTTAGAAGTTTAGATGCTTATGGGAGTTGTACTGAAGAGAAAAGTGGGAAGAGTTCATCAGTCTCAAAAGTTTTCTTTTTCTCTTTCATTTTGCTATTTTAGGTGTACAGAGCCAATGGACCAGATGGAACCATTGGCAGAGGTCAGAGAATCCACCTGCAATTATGGGACACGGCAGGGCAGGAGAGGTATGAGATCTTTAGTTATGTGTTCCTTACTGGAGGAAAGGGAAAAACCAGGTATGCCCTTCACACAGTTCCTGAGCAGGAAAAGGCCAGCTGATTAGTTGACTTGCACCTAGATAAGACATGCTGCTAAATTAGCAGGAAATTTATCAGTCTGAAATGATAATGATGTCTATTTCATACAAGGTCAAGGGAAAAATGAATCCCTTTCAAAATAGACTATCTTAGTTATGGAGTTTTTACTTCTTCCTTCTTTTTCCTCCTCCTTTCTTCTCTTCCTCCTTCCTTTGTCTTTCCTCCTCCTCCTTCATTTTTCTTCTTGTTCTTGTTCTTTAAGATTTATACACTTTTCTCCATTTACTTTAGCTATTTACACAGCCACAAAGACAACTGCAGAATTACCTGCATTATTCTTGCCTGATTATGGAAACCTCACAGATAATCTGATTGGAATTAACTCATATGGTTAGAAGTTGCTTGATCAAAATAAGTCACATGAAATCTTGATATGAAATTTCTTTTAGTTATAGCTGCTGTTTTCTCTCACAGTTTCTTTGAAGTATTCTGTTTGGTTTTTATTTTTTAAAAGATTTATTTGAGAGCGAGCGAGCAAGCCAGGGTGGGGGAGGGGCAGAGGGAGAGGGAGAGAGAAACTTTAGCAAACTCCCCACTGAGTGTGGAGGCTGACTCGGGGTTCAATCTCATGATCCTGAGATCATGACCTGAGCCAAAACCAAGAGTCAGACGCTTAATCGACTGAGCCACCCAGGCGCCCCTGAACTGTTCTGTTTTTTAACTTTTTATTATGAAAATCTTCAAATATATATACTACAGAGGATAGTATAATAAAATCATGTATATATTTCCCAGTTTCAGTAGTCATCAATTTGTAGCCTATCTTATTTCATGTATACCTCTATCCCTTCTTACCCCTCCCCCAAATTATTTTATTTTTATTTATTTTTTTAAAGATTTTATTTATTTATTTGACAGAGAGATACAGCGAGAGAGGGAACACAAGCAGGGGGAGTGGGAGAGGGAGAAGCAGGCTCCCCATAGAACAGGGAGCCCAAAATCACAAATTATTTTAAAGCAAATTCCATTTATCAGATATTTTCATTTATAATTACTTTGGTATGTATTCCTAAAGGATAAGGACTCTTCTTGTAAAAACATTGATTAGAAATATTTGAGAAAACTTAAACAGATTAGATGACAAATTCATACCAGTATTTTCTTCCCTGGAATCTATGCCTGTCAGTTGCAGACTTTACATAAAAATAAAATAAAGTGGAAACTGACCTTTAGAGGGAGAGAGAGTGGGAGACAGCAGGATAAAGTCTTGGAAGAGAGAGTACCAAGAAAGGATAAGACTGAGTCAATACTACTCCCACCTTAAAGCCAAAGAAATGGTTATCAGAGTTATGAGACCTCTTTAGAGACTAAAATTAAAAGGTCATGGACCCCATTGTAACATCAAGTCAAGCTGAACTTTCTAGGGACAAAGAAAACATATATAGCAAGAACCATTGCTTTGGGCCTAATTAAGTAAATTCTTGACTGAGACTAAGGGATCATGAACCAGTTCTTGGGATCCCTGTCCAGCAGTCTGATTTTTCAAATCACATGGTCCATTAACATATAAACTTATGTAAGTGATAAATAAGTGTCTTATATACTTTTGGAATATCATCATCCAATTTGTTTTTTTAATTTTTAAAAATTTACAGAGATGATTTTTATTTATTTTTATTTAATTCCAGTATAATTAACGTACAGTGTTATATTAGTCTTAGGTATACAATAGAGTGACTCCACAGTTCCATACATTTCTCAGTGCTCATCATAAGTGTACTCTTAATCCCCTTTGTATATTTCACCTCCCCCCCCCCCCCCCTCTGGTAGCCATCAGTTTGTTCTCTGTAAGATTGAATTCCAAATATAACTTTTGATAATTGTTGGTGTTTTATAAAGTCTCAGTATATTTTTAAGTATTCTTTGTGGCTCTAGATATCCATTTGATAGCATAATTTGCTAAATCTTATGTAATTAAGAGATACAATATACATATATAATATGAAGTTATTAGAAACAGTGGCACATTATTAAATACCTAATTTGTTACTGATGAATTATTGGAAGAGGCCGAGGGCACTATTGGTAGTTTTATATTTCAGGAGTGGGGCCATGATTTAGATGACCAATCTGCTTTTATGTTCCTAGGTTTCGTAGCTTGACAACAGCGTTCTTCAGAGATGCTATGGGGTTTCTTCTGCTTTTTGATCTGACAAATGAGCAAAGTTTCCTCAGTGTCAGAAACTGGATAAGTAAGTGCTATTGTTTCCCTGTCTCCCACTCCCCCCTTCCCACAATACAGTGCTCTCTGAAATTCTACTTCTGTTGTAAGTTGTTTTGGAGGAGCTCCTAGTACTATTAAAAATGCTGTTTAAAGGAGTAAGATTTTACTTTGGGGGCAGAGATTACTGAAATACTCTGCTTTTCCTAGTAATACTAACTTTGGTTTGTTGGGTACTTCTTATCCTGTAGGCACGTGGCAGCACTTTACATGTGGAAAACAGAGGATGCTCTTATCCCCATTTTATAGATAAGGAAACAGAGGCCCAGGAAAGTTAAATCTCTAAGTATCTGCTTGCCTATTGTATGCTATCAGGATTCATATCATCCAGGGTTTAATACATCTATTACATAGACATAAATATCTTTTGAAGGCTTAGTAGATCATACCCCTGGCTCCATGTCTCTTCTGTACTCAGAGCTTCCTTTTCTCCTTTTAAGGCCAGAGCAGTTGCCAGAAGGACCCCATCATGGAAGATTCTAAAATTACATTGGCAAAAGTGGTCCCCAGCACTATACACGTGCACACACCCACCCTCATCTTGGCTCTTTGGAGAGATCCTAATCTCTTAAATGGTTGGTTAGCAGCCACTTAAAATCCTGCCACTTCGGGGCACCTGGGTGGCTCAGTTGGTTAAGCGACTGCCTTCGGCTCAGGTCATGATCCTGGAGTCCCAGGATCGAGTCCCATATCGGGCTCCCTGCTCAGTGGGGAGTCTGCTTCTCCCTCTGGCCCTCCCCCTCTCGTGTGCGCGCGCTGTCTCTCTCTCTCAAATAAATAAAAAAATAAAATCTTAAAAAAAAAAAATCCTGCCACTTCATCAAATAACAATTTGCAAAAGTACATTTTTCTCTATTAGTTGTATTAGTGCAAACCTAGAGAATCTATTGGGGAAGGCTGTGATGTTAAATTCTTTTTTTTTTTTTTTT